AGGTGGAGGACATTTTTAAAAATGAACTAAAAACTAATGTCAAAGGAAAAAAAGCCTTTTCCTTAGACACAATGCCTTTTTATAGTATATATGGACGCACCAACGCACACACACAGAGGCATATAATTGCACAATTACTCTGACATTCTACGAAAAATATTCCGGTGTGGGTCTGGAAAGCTCGTCACTGGACAGTAAAGTTGTGGGGTTTAGGAGAGCATTGAGTCCATGACGCCTGTCACACTGCAAACACTCAGCTGATTGAAGGTTACAAATGACCCAGCACCAAAGATTGTGTTCTGTGTTCCAAGTGTTCATGCACGAACACACAGTTACAAGCCCTACTTCGCATCCCACACGAGTACAGTATGCGTGTGTCTGTGTGTGTGAGGCCTGTAACCCAACACCGGTGGACCCGTTCCTCCTGTCTGTGAGGCAGATAAATGAAGGTCCGTGAAGCTCCCTGTGGGCCAGACCACCATTAGAAGCCACTGATGATTTAAGAAATGCCTTGGAAACACTCTCAGACACATTTATTACGACAAGATGCCTTTTGGCTGTAACGCCTCCTCCCCTTTGCCAGAACCAGCAAGAGTTATGCTCCGTGGAGGGCACGGGATGACTTAATAATTTCTGCAAATTAGGAGATTCATGTACTGTGACTGAAAGCTCGCATTCATTTATCATAGCCACATTGACCTGGCGAATTGACCTCTGGCACAAGCGGTGCGTATGTATCTCAAAGACAAGAGTTAATGTACACAAACTTATCAGTAAAGAAAAAAAATTAGAAGCTCCTTGACAGGACTTGGCATCTAAAATATCAGAGTGTATCCAACATTCACACTTGGAGATTTTGATAAATTAGAGAGATGAAGATTTCACTTTTCCTCTCCTCTCCTCCCAGGTTGAACTGACAGGAGAGAGGATTAGGTTTCTAAGAAATGCACCTCTAAAGTTGAACCTCACTTAGCTCACTCACATGCAACAAGCCAAAACTGTCGTCTCTGTAAGACTCTTAATTCGTATTAAATTACTCTGTCCATGAATCACACTCTCTCACCCCCCGACATCCAACAAAGCTCATACTTTGTTTTGCTGTCAGAGGTCCATTTTGAAATAATCTTTAGGATTTTTACACCCGTTTCCTGGCTCTCATAACCTGCATAACGCTCTGTGTCATTGCCACTTCATTTTGTACTTGGCCCGCTGCAGACAGCGCTGAGGAAAATTAGATCAACAGGCCATGGACATACAGCAGACTGTAAATGGTGAAAGAAGAGAAGTAACATAGCTCAAAGTAATGGAGCTAATTAACAGACATTCAGTTTTGAATGGACAGCTCCTGTGATCTGTTGGAAAGGAAATCACTTTGATTGAGCTATGAGCTAAATGCTAACATCAGCATGCTAATATACTTCCAAGGACAATGCCAACATACTGTTGTTAAGCAGGTATCATGTTTACTATGTTAGCATGTTAGCATGCTAACATTTACTAATTAGGACTAAATAGAAAGTACAGCTGAGGCTGGTGGAAATGTGACTCATTTTGCAGGTATTTAGTCACAAACCAAAGTTTGACAAATTTACATTTTTGCCTGATGGTGTCACCCCGGCCAGATGAAATGATAGGGCTTTACCAAAGTTAATTCAGGGAACATGGATGTCTACACCACATGCCATGGCAATCTGTCCCTTAGTTGTCAAGACATTTCCTCCACAAACTCATCAAGAATGTCTTGATGGGGCGTGAGGAAAAGTTGGAGATCCCCAAAATCATTCTGTTTCATCCTCTGGGGACCATGAATGTCTTTCCAAAACTTCATCTGTTCAATAGTTCTTGAAATATTTCTGTCTGGACCAAAGTGCTGGACTGACCAAACAATTTTGCCATCCACTGAGCCACGCCGCCAACATGAAAAGCTTTAGCTTTATCATTTCATTCTCAGCTAGCAAATATAGTTGAATTAAATGTGCTGACGGATTCCTTTTTTCTTTTTTTTTTAGCTTAAAGCCAATTTCAGGTTCATAAAACTGAAATCAAAAGATAAATGAATGCAGTGTAACACATCAAAGCCAATAAGCTTCTATTGTCCCAGGAATTTTGAAGGGAATCCCCTTATCTGTCCTCTTTGGGGAAAAGCAGGTGTTAGCTTTACAGCTGAAAGTTGAAAGGAGATATAACTGCCACTGGGCAAAATAAACCATCACCACTCACCCTGAGATCTTTAGAAAAGTAGTATGGTATGCATCAAGAGCAGATGTATTTAACACTTCAGGTTATATGGTACCTGTTGTGCTCACAGACATGTGAAAACGTGCATACCCTTGCCACATATCCATCTAAGGAGAAAGGGCTACTGTTATCTGGCTGTTGTCTTCTGCGGTTGACTGAGATAATTGGGCTTTAAATCACGCAGCAAAGGCACACGAGACACTCTGGGTTTGGTGTCTGATGTCAAAAGCTGCAGATTCCCCCCCCCCCCCCCCAGGTTCATCTTGTCTGCTTGCCTCACGTCTATGTGAGGATGCACCCGAGCATGAATATATTTTTCAAATACAAAAGGAGCTCTATCTGACATGTCTGAGAGCTCTCATGGATGTCACTTTGTTACCAGCACCATGTTCTACTTTATGTGGATAGGTCGATGCCTGGGACTGGAAGGAAATAGAAAAACAAAAGATACAAAAAAAAAAAAAAAAAGGAAATGCACGTCGGAAGCCTAAAGATTTACAACTTACATGCCATCAGTCATTACTGTTATCTAATGGTTTTATATTTACAAAAACATTTCCAAGAATCTCCTAGCTAAAATGGAGACTGGCAAGGCTGATAACCCTCTTCAATCCTTCCCGCTGTTCCTCCTGCGAATAAAATGGTGGTGGTGATTTCAGCTCGAACTGATTCTGCTCTTTCGTCACCATCACCGGTGTACACTGCAAGATCGATACCTCATCCCAAATACAGCTCTCCCGCTCCCTGCCTGCCTCCCAGTCTGTGACTTCTTTTAACCGATCATCTTCAGCAAAGACCACTGCTCTTAAAAATGCGATCAAGCGGGCAGAGAACTTCTGGACCGCTTTTTAGATCCACAGGTGGACTCAGTCTCAGCAGTAATGTGATACATAATTGTCCAACATTTCTATACTTACCCCACAAATTTTTCATACTGAGGAGATTTTTGCTTGTGTAAGAGCAGAAGTCAATTACATTTCTTGGCATAGGTCTTGAGGGGAATTAAATAGAAAGGACAACTGCCCTTTAAAATCCCCCATGCTCACAAATGTTCTGCATTACATCTGATAAACAAGGATCCTGCCTGAGAAAGAGGACAGAGGACCATAATGTAAACACGACTTTATCTCTGAGTCCTCCCTCACAGCCTCCCCGCTGTCACTGAGGATTATGTGTGAAGCTGCAAAAGTTATGGTGGACTTTTCCTGTGAGAATATTTGTGTAAGGAACTGTAGCATTAGAGCTACATGGCAGATAGATATGTTTTAACAAGAAAGAGTCCGTGTAATATGTGGTGAACAAACCAGATTTCTGACACGCTAATGTGCAGGATGTGTGCACAGTCCACAATCACGGTTGTTTCACACGTTGTGACGGACTGCAGAAGTGACAGTGCAGGGAAATGTCCTAAAGTTGCTATTTAGAGACGCAACAGACGTGGTGGTTACAGCTGCAGTAAAAATCAATAAGTTAATTACACCACCATGTGATATCTATGTCTCTACATTCACTGTTGACTGACTTTACCCACAAGTGTTCCCTGGATATTAAGTAGGTCCATTCCTGAAAATGAAAATTAACAGATATTTAACTTAGTTTTAAAATTCAAGTTTGAAAGTCAAGTTGAAAGTGTAATTTTACAAGATATTTGCCAAACTTGACTGCCTTTGAAGGAGCTTTGCAGCTGCATTTCTGTCTCCCACACACACTTTGAATTACAGTTCGACTTCTGTACAGCTTAGTCACCTCATTTCCATGTCTTGGCTGCAGTATATAATATAGCATAACTATAGTTGTCTTGTTTGTCTTTAACCATGACTTTGGCATTAGTGTTCTGAACTGCAATACTAATTCAAAGATACATTGAGGACTGTTTTTTTACCTATAAAATTCAAATGATCCAAAAGCTGTCACTTCCACACAATTCCTTATGTCATCTCTTGTCAAAATGAATAGATATATGGAGTCATTTGTATAATGAAAAAAAACAGTTACAAAAGAGGAGACTACACAAGTGGTCAAGAAGAAACACGATAAAGAATATTTTGGGAAATGTAGATATGAACAAAAAACAACTGATAAGGGCAAAAGAATGTTTTTGTAAATATTGCAGCTGATAAAAGACTCGACGCAGTCTACAGATTTCAGATATTATTTTTTATAAAAAAGATGTTTGCATTCTCTAAATGATAACAATATAGTAAGCGATGTAGAGGCTACTGTAGTATACTGCAGGATGTCAATTATTCTGATTCAGTTAATACTGATATAAGGAATTGTCATGGTTGCTGCAAAAGTGATTCTGTATTCCAGCTTCTTGGAGTCAAAGCTACTAAAAAGTTTTTTTTCAATGAAAATAAAGTTAAATAAGAGCCTTTTTTTTCCACGGAGCAGTGTTCCTAACTTCATATATTTCATTGTATGATCTATATAACGTGCAACACGCTGGATGTGTGTGTGTGTGTGTGTGTGTGTGTGTGTGTGAGAGAGAGAGAGAGAGAGAGAGAGAGAGAGAGAGAGAGAGAGAGATGAAAGAAGACACTGAGAAGGAGAGAAAGACAAAAGGACTGAGCGAGTAAATGAGATAGCTGTTAATTACCGCCTGCGTTTCTGTATGATGTCAATAGGCCTGTTGACAGCGCACGGTGATCCCCATATGTTCCCACTCCGCACAGTGATACTCCGCTCCACGGAGTAACAGAACCCACAGTTCGTCGGCACACTCATGTTTCTTTAGCCTACTCTCTTTAACTCGTCCTCACCCTCCTCTTCTTGGCCGCTCCGCTGTTCTCCCTCTCTTGGTTCTCCTCAGCATGTGGCCCCTCTCATCCCTGTGAAACTCGGCCCGCTTCCTCGTCTGTCTCGCTCTGTCGGGCTGTCCGGCTCTCCACGGCTTCCCAGGAGTTCTCATTACCTCTGGCAGGAGTGGACGCCAGCTCTAGGACCAGTGGCTCCAGCGCAGAGACAGGATGACCGGGGCGAATCAATACATGCTACTGTGTGCTGGTGAAAGTCTGCTTTCTCTTGGTAGATATGTAGAAATTTGGAGTGTATTCTTTCCTGAGCACCTGAATTCTTCTTTGTGAGAGCTGCACACTCTCTGCTGCTTATCTGTCTTCCTTGCTGGCTGTAAAAAAAAAAGCTTTTCATCACTCTCAGAAGAGCTCCATTAATCGGTCCCCCTTGTACATCTTGTCTTTGCTCCGAGTCTAAATGTGGCACAACGCTGCTGCCCTCTTCCCCCTCTCCCTTTCTGTCTGTCTGCTCTCTCTCTCTCTCTCTTGCTCTTCTTCTGTTTCTCTCTCTGCTTCCTCCTCTCCCCTCTGGCTGCTACACCTTTAATCACAGAACAAACACAGACCTTTCCTTTCGCTGAGCAAACTTGCTCTCCTGCTCCAGTCTGTCACAGTAGCCCTGTGCTCCGTATGTGTATGTGTGTTTTTTTTTTGTCCGAGCGCCCCACAGAATGTGCACAGATCTATACAAGATGTGTGTGTGTGTGTGTGTGTGTGTGTGTGTGTGTGTGTGTGTGTGTGTGTGTGCAACTGAGCGTGTACGTCAGTGAGCAAGTGTGTATGTAGGCATGTGACTGAGCAAGTGTGTGTGTGTGTGTGTGTGTGTGTATCACACACAAGGGGGGAACAAGTTTCAGAGTGAGGTCAGAGCTAAGAAAGGGGGCAGGATCAGAGCCAGCTTGGTTCCTGCCTTCACCAAATGTTTAAGCAATTTTAACCCCTTCCTGCTCTCTCACACCTACACACACACACACACACACACTCAGTCGTGATACAATCGCAGGACAGCACTCTCCCTGTGGACACAGTACCATTATCCTTTCCAGATGGAGTGTGTATTCGTGTGTGTGTGTGTGTGTGTGTGTGTGTGTGTGTGTGTGTGTGTGTGTGTTTGTGTGTGTGTGTGTGTGTGGCAAGTATGTCCGTCTATGTTAGGTAAAGAGATTGATGACAGGATGAGTATGATAGGGTATTATAGTAAGTAGCTCTTGGGACACAGCTTGCTGAGAACGAAGAACATGTACGCACACACACACACACACACACACACACACACACACACACTTACTCGTATACACTACGCACTCACGCACAGGCTTAGGAGCCAGCATGCAAGGTCACCCGTGGCCGGGGGCAGTGTATTTTTGAAGACCAGAAATGTGAAAAGTAAATATGAAACCTTAGCTGGTCGACCTTCTGTATGCTTCATATGAAAACTTAAACAGGAAATATTTGACAAGAGATCAGCAAAATGAGTCAGGAGCCACGAATCTACAGGCTATGTTCCCAGAGAGAGATTAAGCCTTGCTATGGATTCGTGGTCCAAAGAGTTTTGTAAGATTTCATCAGAATGAGCCATGGGAAAATGCCCCTTTGACTTACTGAAGGGGAGTGTTTTCTGACTGCACAGCAGGTGCTTTACTGTCCCCAAGTCCATACGACAATTTGCACAATGCAGGGATATAGCACTGGGTATTATAAAATTAGCATTGAGCATTATATGCATAGGATTGAGTATTAAAATTCCTAATGACCATTCGCTAAACCCCTCCCCCAAACCGAGACTGTCCAATCATGGCTTGGTAACCGTAACTGTCCTGTTCAAGCTTCGGATTCTCCTAATGTTGAAGCGATATTCATGGGGCTGTAATAAGAGAGATATTCGGCAGTCTTTTACAGTCTTTCCAAAACCAAAAATACAAAAAGAGAGCGAGAGGGAGAAAAAGTGTAAATGTGGAATGGATTAAATGCTGTGTTCATTCGCTTTAGTGTCAGCTGTTATCATTAGCATGCCTGGCTGACTTAGTAACCAAGCATTACTTCCAAGGCCAGGGAGAACAGTATTAAATAACTACATTAGTTTGTTGGGTTACAGGTTACATTAAAAAAGACTTGTTTGCAACTTGCAAATACACTGTACAGCATTTCCGCACTGGTTGGAAGCTAGTCCTAGATCATTAGATTTTAGGCTAACGTTAGTAGCTCTGTCTTGCTCCTCACTGTATTTGGGGAGTGAAACTTCAGCAACTCCTGCCAATGTTGCACTCATTAGTTCGTCCTCATCCTAACAGCCTTCGCTCTTGTAAGACAGTCTGAGAACTAGGGGTTAACCTAACTAGCTATACTGCAATACAAGAACAATGCTGTCTTTAGCGTCCCACATATGGATCACCATGCAGATGTAAACTTTTTGCCTACGACATACAGCTTTAGCCTCAGTCTTGTATTTTTAGCTTGTACATCTTGTATATAGTCAGCAAGACTGTGATTTTAAAACGAGGCAACAGGAAACCCGAGATGGCATTTTCGACCAACTCATGGAGCTAATGTTAGCTTAATATAGCGTGCTAGCTACAGCTGATAAAATCTGCTTATGACTTTTTTCAGCAAAATAGACAGCTGTTGGCTTACTAAGAATTTTGAGCAGAAATTTGGCCACCATTGTAAACTGCATTACTGTATGTGCCTTGCAAGTACTGTAAGATCGACAGGCATAGCAGAGCTTGACGAACGATCAATTGGTCTCCAGCTAGCTCGTACGCACAAAAAGCATCTCCATAAAAGGACTTCAAGCTACATTCTGCAGCATGACATGGTTCAATTAAATTGGCAAATCAATCAATGGCATCACCTCATCATCTTGGAATTCACAAATGTTAGGCAGAGAGACAACAATAGGTAAGGATAGAAAAGAAAAAGTAATGAGTGGTTATACAGCAGAGGCTCAATAGGTATCTTTAATATGAACCAGGCCCCTTTCAGGGGGCCAGGGTTTTTAAAATGTATTTCAGAACCCCTGCTCCATTACCTACATATGAAAGCCTTATTACTGCTTATGTGAAAAAGTTGGCTTATATTTTTTTCATACGGTATAGTTTCATTTTTTGCCGCTATACATATAACATATAACTGTGGCATTTGCTCTCTAAAAGTATTTAATATAATCCTTTAATATAACACAAAGTGTCTGTGTCTGTACAAGATGTGTGTGTCAAGAAAAACTGCCATTTAAGGAAATCTGAAGAGGTGCACACACAAAAGGGCCGATCATAACCACAAACTGAGGAGACCTACAATAATGCTGTATGTTATGGCTTCCTGGAGCCTGAATTCAGCAGCAACAGTTTATAAATCCTATCACACAACTACAGTGAATTGAATAATCGCTATTTGGGTTTAACGGGATTTACTGTGCAGGGTCAGAATCATGATCAGGCCCCTCATGGGCTGATAAAGAAAAGCTACAAGTTAAACCGGATATACTTAATACTTCTACTATGCAGTCTCTCAGTTCATTTATTTTCCTAGCTCTGTATTCACACTTATCCTCTGCAAATACATACTGTATAAACATTAGCATACGACCTGACTTTGGACTTGTAAAACTGAAGAATTTATCCCCGCTGGGATGAACAATGTCCTGATACAAGCTGGATGAAGGGATGTTATGGATTGAAACTTTACAGCAACCTGCACTTTTGACAGGTTTTCATCACAGGAAAATTGTTTTCATGTGCAGATAGAGGAATAAAGCTTAAACGACACCTTTCAAGAGCAGTATTCTTTGTCATCTAGAGTGGACATGCACACACATGTACGCGCAAACACACACACACACACACACACACACACACACACACACACACACACACACACTTCAGTTGGCAACAGACCCGAGGATTTCACAGTGTTCCATGTGTCTGCGTCACCGTGGTGGAAGAGAGTGGATGTCTGAAGAAAGACAGACATTAAATGTTTGCTTCTGCACAGTATCTTCACATCTCATCTTAAGACAGTCGCGCTGTGAAGCACTGGACGCCGAGGCTGAAACGATGTGGCAAGGTAATCTCTTATAACTCATAAAATAGCGAGGCATCATAAATTCTGGCTGACCCCTCAGTTGTGGGTTTAATAGTCCATTATTTGCAAAGGGGGCCTCATGACATCATGTGTTGGCTACATGGAGGCATGGTGAGCATTCCTGGATAACGAGCTGTTTTGAAGTGAGCGAGGAGCGCTGTATGTCAGAGTTGTTGCCTGTCAGTGGACACAATGTCTGTTTGTGGTTTGTATGTAAAGTTAGCTGACACTGACTAATTTCCAAAGTCATATTGTCCACTGCTGACCAATTATGTTAAAATGAAAATACAAGAAAATGTACAATGAAATGAAATACTGTAACAACATCTGAGGACATTTACTTGGAAAGAACAGTATTAACTGCGCTCATGTGGGTTAATGAAAACTGAATATTCACCAACCCTGTCTGGCTTTGGAATCCAAAGTCATGTCAGTCACTTTATGTTGCTCCTTTGTGTGAAATCCATGCAAGTCAACATTGTGATTATGATGAGACTGCAATATTTTTCCTTGCTTTGTCTATACAAGAACCACTCGCTAGAATAAGATTCTTCCTTGAGTGATAGACTTTAAGTATTTAACTGATTATTCCCTTAAATTTCTCCTGGATTTATTTTAGAATATAGAAACACCTTTTCCACCACTATATGACATACAGTATATATTACGAAATATTTAATCACAGCTGTATCATGCTACACTGGAGGGCAGATCTCCTAATCCTATCTCAAATCACCATAAGGGACACAAAAAGTTTACGTAGCCTCGAGTTTTCAATTTAGAGTATTTATCAAAAGTGATGATATGAATGCACAGCCGCAGTCAGCTTAATTTGAATGCAATTAAGCCTAATCAGCCTGTTTAGGATGTGTTTGCCCGTGTCTGAAAGAAAATAAACTACATGAGAAAGTATTCCTTGCTCTTGATATTAAAATATTAAAGAAAACTATCACATAGAATATTTTAGAAATACAATTAGGCGCTGTTTTGAAAGGCTATATGACAAGAAATAGCAATTAAATATTGCAGTTAGGTCAAAAAATGGTTACTGACTAAATTAAACATTTGAATAACTGGAGTACGGTACAAGTTGGAGGCATAATGTCCTAACAGTCTCCTCAAATGCAACAAAAAATGATGAGCAATTTAGAAACACCCTCTCATTCCTTAATGGTGATGATGTCTCATCATAGCAAATGGAAACTGCTGCCATGCTTCTAAGAAACATGTAAATTT